CCGGGGACGAAGATGAACGCCAGGGGCTGCCGGCAGCTCCCCGCCCGGGGGGCCCTGTCCAGACCTTTCCAGAAGCCGGACCCCCACACCTGTCTTCCCTCCGGGTGTTCCCCCAGCCCCTCCCCGCCTGCCATCTCGGGGTGCGGGGGGGCACGTCACAGCCTCAATAAACTTGTCTGACTCCGCAGAGCACCCTCCCCGAGTGGATTTCGTCTCTGGGGGTGCACGCCTTCTGTCGGTGGGGTGGGGAGGCGGGCGATGCGGTGGTAGAAGCAGCCAGAGCCCTGGCCGGTGTGGCCCAGTGGATAGAGCGTCGGCCTGTGGGCTGAAGGGTCCCGGTTTGATTCCAGGTCAGGGCACAGGCCTGGGTTGTGGGCTCGACCCCCGGTGTGGGGCGTGCAGGAGGCAGCCGATCCATGATTCTCTCTCATCATTGATGTTTCTCTCTCTCCCCCTCTCCCTTCCTCTCTGAAATCAGTAAAAATATATTTAAAAAAATAAAAACAACACATTAAAAAAAAAGCAGCAGCGAGAAAGCAAAGACTCCCCGATCCCGAGTGACCAGCAGGAGGAGGGGCTCATGTCTCCTTCCCTGAAGGCGGTGGATCCTGCCAACCCAGCGCCAGGGCACAGCGCCCACCGCCAGGCGACCCTCCTCCCTTGCCACCCCCTCCTCCCAGGAGGACCCGATGGGGGGCATAGGCCCCCCTTTCCCCACTGACCTCTCCCAGCCCCCGCCCTCCCCCCAGGCCCTCACCACCCCGGGAATAGGACCATGTCTTCTGCATAAGCATTCGGGGCATCAGCCATAGACCAGCACAGGCAGGTGGTGGGGTCTGCGGGTCACGGGGGAAGGGCAACCCCTGTATCCCCCCCCCCCCCCCGGGAATTCTGGCGGGCACGTGTGAACACGGTCCAGAGATCCGCATGTTTTTCCCGCTCCACTGCGGCATGATTGTCAACTAAAGGTCGTACACACTTAGGACAACAAGATGACGTGATGTGTAGACACCGTGAGTGATTCCCAAGGCCAAGCTCGTGAGCACGCCCGTCACCTCTCTGAGGACCCTTTCCAGGCCCATGAAGAGGCGCTCGCCACCCTAATCACCAGGGAATGCCAACCGCAGCCCCAGTGAGGCGCCGCCCACCCGACCGACAGACCTCAGTGCTGGCGAGGACCCTCCTCCGTGGTTGGTGGGAATGGGAATGGGCTCAGACGCGGACAGAAGTCGGTACGGAGGTTTCTCGAACCGTGAAGGAAAGATCCGTCCGATGACCCAGCTGCCCCTCCTCCGAGGACTTGCCCAAAGGCGTGAAGTCACACCGGGAGGGGTGTCTGCGCCCCAGGCTCCCAGCGTCACTTGCAGAAGCCCAGGTGCGGAAACAGCCGCGTGTCCACAGGCAGGTGAGTGGGTGAGAAAGACGTGTAGACCCACAATGGACTATCATTCAGTCATAAACATTCACAATAAAAGATTCAGAAAGTATTTTATTTTATAATAATTTCACTTATGATTATTTTAAAAAGAAGGACAGCTTGTCACTTGCAGGGAGACTCCAGAAATCTAAGTTTTAGAAGAACCCCAGGGTTCCACACACACACTTATTTAGTTATTTATTTATGCGTTTCCCAGGACACTGAGTCCCGGAAGGAAAATCGCTGGCATCTCAGCAAGGCCGGCAGAGGAGGGGACGTCTCCCCACAAAGATGTCCGAGGGGCGACCCGGGGACGGGTCAGTGCTCTAACCACTGGGTTGTTGCTGCTCTTAATCCTCACCTGAGGGTATAGTTCCTACTGACTTTTAGAGGGTATGTGACATGTTTATTGATTTTTTTTTTTTGAGAAAGACAGAGAGAGGGAGAGGCTGGTTGCCTCCTGTACGTGCCGACCGGGAATTGAACCAACAACCCGGCTGGAGGGTTCGCCGGGCTCTGCTCGGAGGAAGCAGCGTGTTATTCATGAGCTCACGTTCTCCCACGCCACGTGGAAAGGCTTCACGTTACGTGGTGCCATTCGGCGACCTTTGACCGCACGTGCCTGGGGAAGGCTGATGAGGAGGTTTTCTCTGCGTCTGGGATTTGTGTGCAAACCAACCAACCAACCTGGCCCTGGCTGGTGGTTCAGTGGTTAGAGCACTGGCCCGCACACCTAAAGGTCTCGGGCTTGACTCCTGGTCAAGGACACACACCTGGGTTGCAGGTTCAATCCCTGGCCCCGGTCGGGGTGCATGGAGGCAACCCATGGCTGCGTCAGCCTCACATAGATGTTTCTCTCCCCCTCCCTCCCTCCCTCCCGTCCACTCTCTCTAAAAGTCAGTAGGAACTATACCCTCAGGTGAGGATTAAGAGCAGCAACAAATCTCCGTGAGTCATGTGCCCACGCGCCGCCGATTTAGCAATTACTGGTCCTTTATTCACGGGGTTCCGTTCCCGTCCTTCTCAGCTTCCTCGTTCATTCTGAACCTCGGAACAGAGAGATCGTCTTACTTGGAGAGGATTCCTAGAAATGCAACCAGAACGGACACATGTGATGGATAAAAGGACGACGGAAGAGGAGGAACATTCGGTGCTGCATGGGGGCGGGGCCAGGCATCCCTGTGTAATGGCAGGTCCGCCTTCCTAGACACTCAGTCATCGTGACGGGCATCCGACGCCTCAGTCGGCAGGAGAAGCATGTGAGCGGCCCTTTGCCGACCTCTCGTCGCTCTCCTGGGCCTCAGCCGTCTTGGGTGGGAGCCAGGTGCCCGCGCCGCCTGACTTGGATGCAGCTCCGAAGGTCAGGCACGAAGAAAGTGTTGTCTTTCTTCCCTCCTTCCTCGTTCATTGCTCATGTCTTCTGGGCACCTGAACACGAAGCTGCATATTTAAGCTCTCCCGTGGATAGCGCCCTGAGCTGAGAAAGGTGATTTGAAGAGTCAAGGCGTCTTAGAGAGAAGGAGAGCGACGGAGAGAGGTGTTCTTCTTCCATGTTGGGTGGCTCGGGGTTTCCTGCGAGAAAGGCCTGGCTGGGGATGTTCTGAGCACCTTCCTGAGCTACGGGTCTGTGACCACCTGGTGCCAGACAGAATCACACTGCCCAGCCTCCCCTGCCCAGCCTCCCCTACCCAGCCTCACCTTCTCACCCTCACCTGCCCAGCCTCACCTGCCCAGCCTCCCCTCCCCAGCCTCACCTTCTCCCCCTCACCTTCTCAGCCTCCCCTGCCCAGCCCCCCCTGCCCAGCCTCCCCTCACCTGCCCAGCCTCACCTGCCCAGCCTCCCCTCCCCAGCCTCACCTTCTCCCCCTCACCTTCTCAGCCTCCCCTGCCCAGCCCCCCCTGCCCAGCCTCCCCTCACCTGCCCAGCCTCACCTGCCCAGCCTCCCCTCCCCAGCCTCACCTTCTCCCCCTCACCTTCTCAGCCTCCCCTGCCCAGCCCCCCCTGCCCAGCCTCCCCTGCCCAGACTCACCTTCTCACCCTCACCTGCCCAGCCTCACCTGCACAGCCTCCCCTCCCCTGCCCAGCCTGCCCTCACCTGCCCAGCCTCCCCTGCCCAGCCTCCCCTGCCCAGCCTCACCTTCTCACCCTCACCTTCTCATCCTCACCTGCCCAGCCTACCCTGGATCCAGGGGGCAGTGCTAGGTTTGCTCTGCTTGCTCGTCTCTGAAAGACTTGCTTCTATAACCAACATCCCCGAGTAGAGGAGGGACCTAGGGCTTCGAGGTTCCTGATGAGTTTATTTTTAACGTTTCCCGTCCGGGTGTCAGCGATGCGCTGCCCTTCACTCACGCTCACCGCCTGGCTCTTGGCCACTCGCCGAGCCTCTCTAATTGCCGGGCGTCCCAGTGCCTGATTACTCATCAGTCACGGCTGAATGCACGGATGCTAATTCGCATTTGCCCGTTTGGTTCACAGCAGAGGTTTAAAGACAAAGACTTTCTCAAGGAGAACCTCACCAGAAACCGTGTTTGTGCCGTCCTGGGAACGTTCCCCAAGTTCCTCTAAGGCTTTGAAGGCCTCTGTCCTCTGCCCTCTGCCACAGGGTCGGCTGGGAAATGTTCTCCAAATGGCACTCCTTGTGTCACCGGGGGTTTGATGCCATTTCCCAGTGAAGTTTCTGGCCATGCAATCATGGAAATCCGCATGGGAAGACGCAGAGCCGCGCGAGTCTAACGCATGAGAAGGACTATGCCATCCTCACACCGTCCTTGCCACAGGAAATGGTGAAATGAGTGTCCTCCTTCTCATTTTCTTTTTAAAAATTCTTATCCTCACCTGAGGGTATGTGACATGTTTATTGATTTTTTTTTTTTTGAGAAAGAGAGAGGGAGAGGCTGGTTGCCTCCTGTACATGCCGACCGGGAATTGAACCAACAACCCTTTTGGTGAACAGATGATGCTCCAACCAACGGAGCCACCGGGCCAGGGCCTCCTGCCCCTTCGCCTCTGCCTGCACTTTCTTCTCTTTTGCTTCTGTCTCCCTGCCCTGGAGTTTCCTACTCCCTAGAGGACCACAGCTGTCCTTCCGTCCCCACAGGCCTGGCTGAGGCCGGGTCAGTCCCGGTAGATTAATGAGTCTTTTCTCAGCGAGAAGAGCGTTCAAGAGCCGCGCAGCCCAGCAGGAGAAACCCCCGTTGCAATAGACCTTCCTTTCCAGAGATGTACACGGGCCCTGCCTTCCACACCTGGAAAGAGCTTTCGGTGACAACGAAAAAGGTATTTCTTCTCATTTAAAGACGGTTGGCCCTGCCGGTGTGGCTCAGTCGGTGGAGCATCATTCCATACATGGGAGGTTGCCGGTTTGATCCCCAGTAGAGGGCGTGCAGGAGGCAACCCATCTGCAATTCTCTCTCACGTCGATGTTTCTCTCTCCCCCTCTTCCTTCCTCTCTATAATCAATTAAAAACCACATATTTATTTACTCAGAGAAGGTTGGCTCCCTCTGTTGCCAGGAGGAAGCAGAGCAGAACCCGGAAATGCATCATACTCGTGGCTGTGATGTTTGATTTCCCATAATCCTCTTTCAGCCAATGGGCGGCTTTGCTCAGAGCCACCCAAAGCGGGACAACGGGTGCCCAGTGGACTGTCCAACTCACGGCTTCCTGGTGGCTTAGGTGCAAGTAAACGTCACTTAAAACCGACCGACCGACCGACCGACCGACTGTCCAAACGACCAACCAACCAACCAACCGACCAACCAAATCCCCAAACTTTGGAGCCAAATGTTTGGCAAACATGTGTTTTCTTCCCGTGGCTCCTCTGTGACCCCGAACGCCTCCCGCAGGGGCTGTCCTTGAGAGTCTAAGTCGGCCATCATTTCCATCGCACCCCAGCACGATTTTTCAGTCATTTCAACGATAGACATAATTATGCCCAAGAACTAATATTTAATGTGTTTCTGGGCTTGTCGTAGGCCATTAATCCTCTTAACAGCCTCGTGAGGTTGGTTTTATTCCATGTTCTATGACCTCATTTTACACACGAGGAAGCTGGAACTGGGAAGTTCAAAGACATTCGTGGTCGCGGAGCGGGAGAGGGAGGGTTTACAATCCCGGCGGGTCTGATGCTGAGCCGGTGCCGCCTGCTGCCGAGCGGGGTGACTCCGCCTCACTCCCGAGGTCCGTGTGCAGCAGAGGGGACCCCGGCCTTCTTGCTCACCTCTTGTCCCCAAGACAAAGCACAGCATCGGGCTGACACGGAGCCCCCAGCGAACACGTCATAAAGGGAAAGACAATGTCATGTTTTTTCAAATTAAAATAAAGATGGCAGTGCGCGCCTTGCACTGTATGGTTTGGGTTTTTGTGGCCCCGGGAGAGTCTGTGTGGACTCTGAGCTCAGACACAGTCCCGCGCTGGGGAGGGGCCGAGGGGCCTTGAGCAGGATTCCCGAGAAGATGCAGCAGCAGCTCCCGCCGTGACGCCGTTGCTCCAGCCCAGGGACACTCCTGCACTCTGCTCAGTGGGCAGTGGAGGGCGTGCTCAGCACAGGACTCAGCGTGCTCGCCTCAGGAGGAAGAGGAAGGCCCACACCTGGCAGAGGCAGAGCTGGCGAAGGAGGGGGAAGGGGAGGGAGAGAGGCTCGGTCCCCTGACCCCACCCAGTCGGGCTCCGAGCTCTGCCCAGCCAGGCTGCGCGTCCACGTGTCCCCGCATCGTCTAATGTGGTGAGAAACCCGCTGAGTCAGCTCCACTGGGACTCCCATCGCTGCCACCCATCCGGTCCGGTTCTTCCTCCTCCACCGTCTCCCCGGTGATGTCGGTGCCTCCAGGAGATTCCTGTTACGTTGGTTTAGCCCAGTGGTTCCCAACGTGGGGGACACACCCCACAGGGGGGCAATGTGATGTTTGAGGGGGGCAATTGGAGTTATTAACTGTATATTTTTTGCATTTCTTATGGTTCTAGGGGCCTCATATACAGCCTCATATACACGTCTCCATATACACGTCTCCATCCGTGTCAAGAATGACTAGAGGCCCGATGCACGAAATTCGTGCAAGAGTAGGCTCCCTTCCCCCAGCTGCCGGCACTGGCTTCCCTCTGGCTGCTGACAGGCACCCGGGACCCGGGCTTCCCTTGCAGCCCTGGCTTCGTCCGGAAGGTTGTCCAGAAGGACTTCCGGTCTAAGTAACATATTATGCTTTTATTATTGTAGATATTGCGGCATATTTATGCATTTCAGTTCTCTATAATATGTTTTGAAACTTAATTTGCTATTTTTTCCATGTCACTTCATATTATTATTTTTTAAACAATTCCTTAGTGATTTCTTCCTCAGTATTTCCACTTTCGTTCTTTTATTTTTCTTTCATGGCTGCCAGGTTCTTTGGAAGCTTGTTTAGACCAAGTTCGTGGCCTTTTAGGCTTCCTCCATGTGAACAGGAGTCACTTTTTGAAGAATAAGGATTCTGCGTCACAGGGGCCACCAGATGTTAGAGATGCTCAGGGGCCGTGGCCAGAAGAAGGTTGGGGATCACTGGTTTAGCCTGAACCCAGCCCTTCCCCCGAGGCCTCCTCTTAGCCATTTCCCATCCACCGGCTCCCACCGGCTCCTTGGCTGTCCATGCCCACGTCTCCTTGTGCTCGGAATTGAGCCCCATCTCCCCACCCGTCCAGGGTCCACCGACTGCCCTGCAGCGGCCCCGCCCTGGAGCCCAGTCAGCCTCTGTCTTAACCAGCGTCCTGGGTGATGCTTGAACCCATCTCAGCGCTCAGTGTTCCTGGCTTCGTCCACGTTTGTTTTTGTAATTTATGTTGTAAAGAGGGCTTTCCTTTGCCACCCGGTGCTGAGCTGCACTCTGCTTGGTCCTAACACCCACCGTGCAGTTTAGTTCCCCGTACCTGTCTGATGCCTGAGCCCCCGCTGGAATCCCGCCCCTCCCCCAACCCCTTCCCGGACCGCGTCCACTCAGCTCTGTAATTACGGCGGGTGGCTGCGTGCATTGCTGCTGATTGAGGCTTGCTCTGCCTCTGCTCCTCGTTTTAAAGGTTTGTTAGATCTGCGAGCTCTTTAATATCTCACCCTGCAGCCCAGGTGAGGGCGTGAGGAGCCTGGGGAGTTCAGTAAATTCGTGGTTTGGTGTCGCCACCAGCCAGGGTTGTGTTGTTGCGAAGTCTGAACAGGAGTCTGATGTCACCAAAGACTTTGAAGACGGACAGGAGCTCCTCATCCCAGGGACCGGCCGTCGGAGGGTCCTCTGACCAGCAGGCAGTCAGGCTCCGGCTCCTGCAGCCAACGCCAGGGTCTTCCTTCTATGAGACACAGGAGTCGAGGAGACAATTAATTCCGTCTTTAGAGGTCGAAGGAGGCGCGTCCCTATACAGCCCTCGCAGCGCATCCAGACGTCCCAGGTGAGAGGGCCTAACCTGCAGTCCCTCCTGTGCACACGCTCCCTCACCTACACCCTCCCTCACCTGTATTCCCTCCTGTGCACACCCTCCCTCACCTGTATTCCCTCCTGTGCACACCCTCCCTCACCTGTATTCCCTCCTGTGCACACCCTCCCTCACCTGTATTCCCTCCTGTGCACACCCTCCCTCACCTGTATTCCCTCCTGTGCACACCCTCCCTCACCTGTATTCCCTCCTGTGCACACCCTCCCTCACCTGTATTCCCTCCTGTGCACACCCTCCCTCACCTGTATTCCCTCCTGTGCACACCCTCCCTCACCTGTATTCCCTCCTGTGCACACCCTCCCTCACCTGTATTCCCTCCTGTGCACACCCTCCCTCACCTGTATTCCCTCCTGTGCACACCCTCCCTCACCTGTATTCCCTCCTGTGCACCCCCTCCCTCACCTGTAGTCCCTCCTGTGCACTCGCTCCCTCACCTGTAGTCCCTCCTGTGCACTCGCTCCCTCACCTGTAGTCCCTCCTGTGGGTAAGGCTCAGGTTTCAGGCCCATCCCTCACCTTGTTCACCCAGGAGCCAGTATTTCCACGCCTACGTTTGGAAACGTGCTAGTGGCTATTCCCCAGAAAATGACGGCACCGGGAGAGTCAGTGGGGAAATGGGGACATGCAATCCCTTTCACAATAACAGGTTAAAATAAAATGATATGCAAAACAATCGCAGCCCTGGCTGAGCCTACGTTCAGCTAGGAGGGGAGGGGTTATAATAAATAAGATGCCTGGTCAAGTGGTGAAGGAACTTTGAAGAAAACAAGGACAGTTCCTGGGATAGAGCCCCAGGAAGGAGCTGGCATGTTCCACAGATGGGCAGCGGCCCTCGCGGGTGTGGCTCAGTGGATAGAGTGTCGGCTTGTGGACTGAAGGGTCCTGGTTCTGTTCGGTCAAGGGCACGTATCTGGGTTGCGGGCTCAATCCCCAGTAAGGGGTTTGCAGGAGGCAGTTATCAATGATTCTCTCTCTCCCTTCCTCTCTGAAATCAATAAAAATATATTAATGAAAAGGTGGTCAGCCAGGTCCCTGAGAGGACAGGGAAGAAAAGCTTAAAGCAAATGCAGTGTGCCCGTGTTTATACGCAGAAAACACTGTCTGTGACGTGGAACCCATAGTTTCAATTGCCTGGCGGAGGGCACAGGTGCGCTCGCTGTGAAACCCTGAGAAACGGGAAGTGCTGCTGGTTTGTCTGCAAAGACTTCACCCGGAGCCGGGCTTGCCTGGGGGCTGGTGCTGAGATAAGGGCGGTTGGGGTTCCTGTTGGGACTCGCCCAGGGTGGTGCTTTGTGGGGGGACAGGACCCTGGCAGGGACCATCGCTCAACCAGCCGG